CGGCCGGGCTGGGGGCGCGCGGCGCGGTGGCCCGCGAGGGTGCAAATTAAAGCCTTCCGGAGAGAGGGGAGGCGGCCGAGCCCGGCTGTGCTGCAAGCCTCCCCGCTCCCCAGCAGCCCTCTGGAATGGGGGGCGACGAGGGCATGGGGCGTGGGGGGTGCGAAATGAAAACTTCCAGCTTTCCCTGGTACTCGAGTGGAGGTTCCCGCGATTAAAATAAGCGGCGCGAGGAGGAGAGAGTGGGATGTGTCGTCGGGAGCCCACGGAGTTTCTACTCCGGAGTCGCCCCGAATTGGGGTGGAGTTTTGACAGGGTGAGGCGGGGATATCAGCCGTCCGTGATGTGGATCGATGGGAAAAACGCAAAACAAACACTAATGATGAGGGGCCGGTGGGGGTGGTGAATGCCACCATTTTTCAAGAAACTGAAAAAAATCAGACAAAAAACCAAAACAAAACTCTTCTCTAGAAAAGGGGCGGGGGGGGGGGTTTGGCAGGATGCCTTGCAGGAAAGAAAATAGTGTTCTGCCCAAGCACTTTTCGCTTTCCGCAGAAGCTACATTTGTTTTGTTTTCCTTCGCTTCCTTTCGGCCCCAGAAAGCCCTATCTTTTCCTTTTGGATGGAGGATATGGTTTGGTTTCTTGTGGTTAACGATCTACTTGGAGGGGCTCAAGGTGTCACAAATCCGAAGTGGTTAGCAACTGCTGAGGGTTCACCAAGCTATTTTTGAGGAGCTAAAAAGACTAAAATTTAGTGTAAATAATAACTCCAAGAGTCGTGGACTCGCGCACACACACAGAGAGGTGTGCTTAGTTTAAAAGCATTATACAAATTTTGAAATTTGAAACCTTGTGTGTATGTTTTACCTGCTGAGAAAACCTGAACACAGTTATTTTAGGTGAAAATGAAATTTTGGAGGGATAAAAAATTCTTTAAGAATGTAGTAAAGGAAAACTTAAAGTACCTTTTTGGAAAGAATTAAGTGTTCTCCAAAATCTGTATCTATAGAATACTTGAAACTCTTTTAAGTATCTTAAAGCAAAACCAAGAAGAGAAAAAGAAAAAAAATTCAGTACTTCTATGGAATTTAAAACCCAGCAAAATTCTGCTTGATCTGAAAATATTACCTTTCAATCTTTTGTTTCTTTTGAATTAAACTATGCTACTAATTTCATAGTAAATCAAATTTTTCCCTTTATAAAATTAATTCTGTATTACAGTGTAAAGTAAGGTCAGGTAAATATAAATTGATGCATTTCCACTGGTAAGCATTTTGCAATGCACTGTAATAGGTATTTTTCTGAAAAAAATAGAGGTGAATAAATATGTGTTTTAAATAATTATTAAAATTCATTTTGTGTTTTAGGATGTATTTTCTCAAGTGAAATCCTGTTTCTTAACAAAATTTTAATATCTGTTTATTTCATATAATTATGCACTTAAAAGCAAATTATTAGATTACATATAAAATATATGTTTATATTTATATAAACTATTTTTATATTTTTATAAAACATTGTCAATAAATTACTATTTGGACTGTAAACTGGAGACACTAAATGGAAATCCACCATTTTGATATTTGTTCATACTTATCAATGATTTTTTAAAAAGATTCATTAGCTAATAATTAACATGCTTATGTAATCTACAAATAATGGCCAGTAAATGTGATGGTTATAAGAACCATCATATGATTTTGTTCAAAAAATAATAAACTGTAAATATCTTTAAAATAACAAAAATACTGGGTATTATTAATTACTGGATTTGACAATAACCACTCAAGGTTAGAAATTCCAGAATTTAGATGATTTGAGCAATGCAAAAAAACAATGGAACTTTAATCATATATTTTAATACCAAATGCCACCTCTTTGTCCTGTTCTTATGTTGCTTGTGTTTTATGTCAGTTTATGGTTGTTCACTCCCCTGGTTATGTTGCACATTTAATTCCAGTTGGTTAAGACCTCAGATGAAGGAAGTTTTACAATGAAGTGTATGAAATTAGTAAATCTAAAATTGCTTTTGTTTATGGATAACTTTCTATGTCACAAGTTATTGTAACAAATTTGTGCAAAGTTTATTATAAACTGTGAACCAAATTCCAACTCCTTTGTTCGTGAATGAAAAGAAAGCGTTCAACCACAGTGATTGGATTCTGTATTTTCCTACCACATACCAGATACTGCACAAGTGTGAATCAAAATCATCTTACAGGTTTTTAAAAACTAGAAT